ACTCAGACCAGTTATATTTGGGGTCACAAGTTTTTGCCATGAATATTTTGTGGGTCAGAAAATAAAAAGTTTGAGAACCACTGGTGTACAGTGAGCAGAAAACGTCATTTAGGCCTCAGAGCTGACATGAAGCTGCTCACTGACGGGTGATAATAAAACCATCACGGGTTTATCATATGTTTAGACATAAAACCAACACAACAGGAAGTATGTATGGGTCTAAAGCTGAGGCATGAATGTTGACAAAGMCACAGGAAATCCTTGTGCATGTTATTAGTTTGATACACACACAAAAATGAATGTCAGTGAAGTTACCACTACACTTTTAACAACTCCACATTAGCTGACACTCTTTAGAWCTATTTAATTGTTGAACGTCAAGTCACGTTAACTTTAGAAGTTGACAACATTAAGCATGTAAATTACTTCATAAAACAACGAAGTTTTCCGACTCCACCACCGCACCAAACGGAAACTTCCAAGAATGCTGAAGTTTAGTGAGATAGTTTGGTTATACATATTTTCATTACATCAAATTGAATAGAGATCTGATAAACTATTGTGCTGAATCCATAATCCTATTTTCAAGAAGCGCCTAAAAACGAGAGGAAGACAGGGCGATACTCTCTTTAGCATGCTAATGAGTTAGCTTAGCGTGGGCAGGCTAGCGTTGGCGGATTTATCCGCCTCATAATCTTGTTTTGACTGGGTAAACTTTATAAAGTGACGTTGCACTTCCGTGAAGTAATGGGGTAAATTTAAGTCCGAGTCAAAGTGATTTTACAGCAACAAGAGACAGAGAGTTTAAATTTTGTCTGTTTCCTGTTTGTATCAAATCTTTTCACCCATAGCCGCGACAGTATCCGGCTAATCATTRCTGATAGGTTTCAATGTTGCGGCTAGCGGATAAACTAGCTACTTAGCGTTAGCCGAGCCCTAATAGGCCCGGCTWTCTCAAAGCCAGCCAGGCCACTTACAGGTTACAGATTAGGTCTTGTTGTGTAGCGCATCGGTCAGCGCTTTCTCACCTTAAGGCCGGTGCCCAGGACGATAACGTCGTATTCTTCATTCATTTTTCAAAGCTTGTAGTCTTCTGCAGCTGGATATCCGAAAATAAGAAAATGGAGATCTGAGGAGCTGGAACTGTGAAAGGGCTGTTCAGCTTCAGCGGCCGCGGGGAGGGGCCGGGCCTCGCAGTTTACTACGTAACTTTTTACGTATCTGTGCGACAGTGGCGTAACCATTCAAACAGGAGAGGTGCAAAAAATACATTGAGATAAAAATGAATACTAACTCTTTCAAGTTGTAAAAGTCAATACATTTTAATGTGTTACTGCAAGACAGAAAGATTTCAAATAAATAACTAAAATTATACCAACAAGTATAAAAATGCAGGGTTTCTATATTATTTGCACTGCCTACTCTGTTCATGGTTGCCACACCTGTTAAATAAACCCAAACTAAAGTTGACTTCTATGCTGCTTAAAGGTTTTGTGTGTGTGTGTGTTGTCAGTAGAGTACACTTTTTTAATTATTTCAAAAAAATGAAAAAAAAAAAAAAAAGATAATCCCTTCACATATTAATTTTTTTATAAACAATTCACATATTTTAAACAATACCAGCTGCCTCTCAAAAAAACTACAGCACTAATTCCAAAAAATGTGACATTGTGTAAAATAAGTCAAAACGACTGCAATAATTTGCAAATGTCATAAACCAATATTTTATTCAGAAACATTTGGGGAAAAAAATAGAGACAGGTCCATGTTTACTACAGTGAAGTCTGTCTGATGTAGGAGGATTCGAGCTGTTCAGCAGTCAGGGATTGTTTTGCTAGTTTTTTTTCAGGATGGGAGCAGATGTTTTAAAAACTGTAAATATTTCCTGTATTACTGGAGCCTTTCCAGATTTGTACGTTACCCATGCCGGGAGCACCGATGCACCCCCATACCATCAGAGAAGCAGGCTTTTGAGTTACAAGTTAAACAGGCTGYGGTTTCCAAACTGAATTTCAGACTGGGATCTGTCTGACCACAGAACAAGTATCCACTTTGCTTCAGTYCTTTTTAAATGAGCTGTGGTTCAGAGAAGATGGCAGCGGCTCTGCGTGGTGTTCTTATATGGCTTCTCCTTTGTCTGATAGAGCTTTAAGCAACATTTGTGGATGAAACAGTGAACTGTGTTAACAAATGATTATTCCCTCCATGCAGTGATGTCCAATAAGAAATAATACAGCCTGCTTTTATTATCCTGTGGCAACTTTTTGAGATGTTTTGCTGCCATCGAGTCCAAAAATGACCCCCTTTTTTCATAAAAACAGTACAATTTCTGATTCATGACAAAGGTGTAAATGGTGTTTGTGGCAGGACACACTCAAACACTCGCACTACATCGGGTTTCTTGGCAAGCTGCTGTGCTCTTGTGCCAGACGTGTCCTCCGAGTCTCTGAGGCCGAGTTCCAGCAGTGTCCTGGCGGTCTTTGCATGCTGTCCAATGCAGGCCATGTGAAGAGCTTTCAGAGGAAAGAGACAGTTGAGCAGGGCGCACAGGGAACATGTACTCATCGATTCAACTCCCATCTCTACATTGCATTATACAATGTACTGTATACAGATGAAACATGATGGGGTTAACAACATTTTTTCTTGTAGATCTTTTCTTTATCACAAAAAAATCTATAAAATTCTCATCCGAAACAGGATGAGATAAAATGTCATAATTACAAAATCCTGACCTCATAATTACAGCGGGTAAATAAAGTATTGAACACGTCATCATTTTTCTCAGTAAATATATTACTAGAGGTGCTAATGACATGAAATTTTCACCAGATGTCGGTAACAACCCAAGTGATCCATACATACAGGGCCGGATTAATACTTCGCTGTACCCTGGGCAAC